TTAAATAACAATAAGAAAACATATGAATCGATGAATGTTAAAAGGGCGGAGTCACATATTTTGCAAAATTGACTTTTTTGCAAATTTGTATATTTAAAAGATACTTCCATCATTTTGTGTTAAAAAAGTGTCTGTCAGAAATTTTCTCTAGCCTGTACAGTGTCTAAAAGTTTTGGTTTTTTGTTAAAAGGGCTGAAGTCCAGACTTCAGCCCTTTTAACAAAAAACAAGAAACTTTGCGCCAAAGACAGCGGACCAAACGTAAACTTATTTTGTTGTTTTGATTGTGCAACAGCGTGGTGAATAAAGTTGATTTATTACATTTAATGATTTTAATAGTGAATTAAGTTGATTAACTACTTTTTTAAATGGGTGATTGTGGTAGTGAGTCTGATCATACAAATTATAAAAAAAAGATAAGAAACCCAGATGATTATAAAAGGAACAAGATTAAGAAATCTAGGCTTGCTGGTGTGGGAAAAAGTTGTGATGCTAATGAAGATACTGTTTGAAAAAGAATAACTAACAGCGGAAACAAGAAGGAATTTAAATATCATGTTTTGATCGGAGATGAACGAGTACAGGTATGTGTTGTGGCATTTTTATCAATATTTTCTGTGTCAGAAAAGACGGTTCGAAGAATAATGAGTTTAAAAATGGATGGAAAAGCAGTTAAAGATTTGAGAGGAGTACATTTTTTTTTTTAATTATCTTCACTTCCAACAAGGCTGCAAGCAACCACTAATTAGTGTTGGAAGTTACGGGAAGAAAAAAGATGAAGATTGTTGAGCAAGATAACGATTGACAGATAACTTAAAAGATTGCAAATTATATGAATCAGGAAAGCAAGATGAGGGAAGCAAATTCCAAAGCACTGATGTTTGAGGAAAAAAACTAGACGAATAAGAGTTTTTGGAGCACTAAGGAACAGTAACAGAAAATGGATGAGACTTAATTGAATGACGAGTAACACAAGAATGAATTTTAGTAGATGGCACAAGAGACGCTAGCTCTTTCGAGCAGTGCCCATTATAGTATTTGTAGAAAAGAGAAAGAGAAACAACATTACGACGATGTGACAGAGATTGAAGGTTGGCTGCAAGAGCAGGTCCAACTATGTTTACAATGCGTTTTTGAACCTTGTCTAAAAGAGAAAGGGCATCATTAGAAGATCCGCCCCAGATATGGCAACAGTATTTCATACAAGGCCGGATTTGAGATTTATAGAGATAGAGAATAGAATCCAGAGTAAGAAAGTGACGAGCTCGATAAAGAGAAGCAACTTTAGCAGATGCTAATTTTGCAACGGATTTGATATAAGGTTTCCAAGAACAATCAGAAGTAATAGTTAATCCTAGAAGATGAAGGGTAGGAGACTCATCGAGTACATTACCGCTTATAAATATAGGAAGGTCTAAATTATTGAGATAACGATTGGCCGAAAAAAATTTATCTGAATTAAAGTTCACCAGCCACTGCGAGCCCCATGCTGTAGCAGAAGTGAGATTCTTTTCAAGCTCAGATGCCCCCTGCAAGCAATCAGAGGGAGTTGGCTTCTTATCGTGACAAGAATAAATGGTAGTATCATCAGCGAACAATGCCACCTTAGATGTGAGAATATCTGGAAGATCGTTGATGTTAATTAAAAAGAGTATAGGGCCAAGGATTGAACCTTGGAGAACCCTTGAGGTTACAGAATAAGAAGAAGAGTGCTGTCCATCAAGGATAACTTTTATACTACGATTGGAAAGAAAGGATTCAATAATCTTAAAGATGTTTCCAGATACACCGTAAGAAGAAAGCTTATGGAGAAGACCAGCATGCCAAACTTTATCAACCGCTTTAGAAATGTCAAGAGCAATGCCCTTAACCTCTCCACCTTTATCTAATGCGCGATAAAACCTATCGGTTATTACTGATAGCTAATCAGCCGTAGAACGAGAAGATCAAAATCCATATTGATGATCAGAAAGTAGGTTATGAGATTCGAAATGAGAGATTAAGTGTTTGTTAATTAAAGATTCAAAAACCTTGCTTATGATAGGAAGAAGACTAATGGGACGGTAGTTAGATGAGTCAGATCGCTCTCCAGAATTTTAAAAATAGGGATAACAGATGCTGCTTTCCAGCAGGCTGGAAAACAAGACTCTGATAAGCACTTGTTAAATAGTTTTGAAAGGATAGACGACAGCTCCGGAGAACACTTCTGCAAGACTATAACAGGTATGTTGTCCGGGCCGCAAGCTGTAGAAGAGTCTAAGCGGGAAATCACTTTAGATACAGAAGCTGGAGTGATACGAATGTCGAGCAATGGATCAACCTGTTTGACAGCTATATCAGGTAGAACACAACTAGTGGCATCAAGAGATGATATTGATGAAAAGTTCTTAGCAAATAATTCAGCTTTGTCTTTAGGTGAGGTGACAAAGTCTGAACCATACAAAAGAGGTGGAATTACAGACTTGCCCTTATTATTGATACTATTAAAGATTCTTCAGAAGTCACGAGAGCCTAATTTTTGTGATAAAATAAGAGATTTCATGATCTGAGAATAGCGGGCTTTGGCATTAGACAAAACCTTTTTACAATGGTTCCTAGCAGTAATAAACAGACATCTGTTTTCTGGAGAATTGTTTTGCTGATAGATATGGAAGTAGTGGTTTCGATTGGCAATTGCAGCAGCACAATGTGAGGAAAACCACGAAGAAGAGTGAGGCTTGACCTGGAATCGTCGAGAGGGAATAAAAGATTCCATGCTAGCCTGAATCCACGAGGTTATGTAAGAAGCACATTTGTCAACAGGGAGACAAAAGATTTCTACCCAGGAGCCATCACAAAGAAAATCACGGAAAGAGTCCCAGTCAGCTTTAAGGTAGTTGTAAGATGTACGATGATAGGGGGATTCTGATGGAAAAAAAGAATGAGATAATAGTTTTAGAGAGACCAAACCATGATCAGAAGCACCTAAGGGTGAGTGTGGAGAAACTGAGCACTGACTAGGATCAGAAACAAGACATAAGTCGAGTAGAGAAGGTAAATGATTCGGGTTGTCTGGAAAGCGAGTGGGAAAGTTGACTATTTGAGTTAGGAATATGAGTTACAAACGAGTTACATTACCAGTCACGATATACTAACTAAGGTGTACGCTCACATAGACTCCTTTCCAAAAAAACTGATCCACTATGGCGGAAAGGAAAGGTATTTTTTGAGTGAAGATTTAAACATGAAGTTAATGTATGAACTACTCATGAAACAAAATGAAGGGGTAAAGTTCAGTTACAAGTCCTATTATAACTACTACAATAAGCACTTTCATTTACGTTTCGGGCAACATCAAGTAGACACCTGTTGCATATGCGAAGAGCTAAAGCTAAAGATAAAAGCACCTCACCTTAATGAAGTTGCTAAGCAACTTGGCAGTACATAACAGATGCGCAAAAAAATTTTACCAAGCCATAAAACAAGATGTACAGGACGCTAAGGAAGGAAAAAAATGTAAATGTTTTGTCCCTAGCAGTAGATTATATGCAAAACATTTCACTGCCCAAAATACCTGTGCAAGAGTTATTTTACCTAAGGCAGTTAACAGTTAGTGTATTTTCTATTCATGATGTGAAGAGAAATGTTGCAACTCTCTACCTTTATCACGAGGGGAAGACTAGAAAGTCTCCAAATGAAACTTGCTCCTTTTTTTTGCACTACCTTTCTACCTGTCCTCAAGAGTATGATGAACTCAACTTTTATGCCAATAATTGTGGGGGGCAAAATAAAAACCATTGCTTTTCAAAACTTTTTATGGCGCTTACTGACAATAATTTGATGAAAAAGATCAATCAATTTTTCACAATCAGAGGGCACAGCTTTTTGCCCTGTGACCGTGACTTTTTGATTATAAAAAGAGAGTTAAGAAGGCATGACAGAGTTTACAGCGTTCAAGAAATAAAAAAAATTATATTAAAAAATAGTAATCAAAAAAAGTTTTTATTTAGAGAGTTCATCTCTAGTTTACGATGTTAAAAGTTGGTGGCTAGTCCATTATAAAAAGAAACGTTACCTTAATTGAAATAATGGGTAAACCCAGAAGCCAACAAACTCAGTTTGCAATAAGCAAATTTCACCATTTTCAATACGATTGTGACAACATAGGTCAATGTAAGGCCAGTGAAATTATCAATGGCATAGACAAACATACTTTTATGATGAGAAAAAATACTCAAAACAAAGCGAACCTGCCAGAACAGCTTCTTTACCCAAACGGAAAAGTCCAAATAAAATCTGCTAAATTGAATGACTTAAGAAAGTGTATTAAGTATATTCCACATAAGCATATTGACTTTTATAATAAACTACTGCAATGGCCTACAGCAGAAAGCAATGATGGAGAAGCAGAAGATGCTGGGGGAAATGATTAAGCATAGCTGATAAAATTTCTGTAATAGACTTTTTTCCTTATAATTTTTATTAATATTGTATAAACAATTCATAAATGTATAATTTGAGAAGATTTATTGCAGTTTGTGACTTTATTTTCTATAGTCCAAAATTAAAATCATAATAAAATAAGCAGTAATTATTTGTTGAATGTTAAAAGGGCTGAAGCCCACAGTGTTAATTGGTTTACAGGTTCTTTAAAAATAAATATGAAAAAATATATTTCTGCATTTAATATAAAAAAAATAATCCCCTTCAAAAAAAAGTTGCTAAACTATTAACAAAAATTTATTGAGGAAGCAGTGCTGTTTTTTTTAGTTTTCCAAAAGTTTACATTATTGGACATCCGCCCTTTTAACATTCACCAAGTCATATATGAAAAAAGCACTTAAGTTTTTTAAAAAATAACAGTAAAAAAACATATATGGAAACAGCACATGTTTTTTATAAAATAACAGTAAAAAAACAGGTGGAAACAGCACATTGCTTTTTTTTATAAAATATAAAAGCCTAATTTAAACTATTTTTTATTAAAAAGTACTGAATTTTTTTTCAAACTTTAAAACCTACATTAACTATTGTTCTTTGCAATGGGTGATCAGAAGTTGCTTTAAGTGAAACAACAAAATTCTTTTGTTCTTCTTTGTAATCTCTTTTTCGAAAAGCCCTAGTATAATTAAACAATTAAAATGAAATGTAAGAGTGTAAGGTAAAAAAAAAATGAAGTTAACCAAGTCTAAAATAAAAAAAACAGAACAAATAATCTATTAAAACAAAGTAATTAATTATAATGCAAATTAGTAGTAAAATAATTAATATGTAAATTAGTATTAAAAGTAAATTTCTTTCTTTATACACATACTTTATTTAATTCTCTGAGAAAATACTTTCCTAATAAATTCACTTCCCCAAAACCAATTTTCCCCAAAAAAACTATATTTATGTTAAATACATGTATTTCTGCAACCCTCGGAATTAAGAAAAATGAGGTCAGCAATAATTTGCCTACCTCGATCTTTCAGAGGTTGGCATCAGGTCGGCAAATTTGATACAAAGGTTTTACCATAAGACATAGAAAGAGGGCAGCAATTTTTTGCCAACCTCAAACACTTTAAGGTTAACAGTTAGTTAAGGCTGTATAAAAATAATATGTTTATTTATATATATAAGCAAATATACATAATAATATGCAAAATAAATAAATATATGCATGCATGCATAAATTCATTTATGCATGCATGCATATATTATAGTTGCAATGTAAATGCAACAGAATCCATATCTGGAGGATGAAGATAGCACAAGAAATTAATAACAAGAGATAAATAGAGCATAAGCTTTTTCTTTCTGAGAAGTCTACTAGCTTCTATTATCTTATTCGGCTGTTGCATTTTGCCATTGTTCAATTCTTTTAATACTCCTTTGAAGTTTATACGCATATTTAAAAAAAAAAAAGCAGCTGCCAAACAAGCTGCTGCAACATTAACCAGATTCAAAGAATGGCCGGTGCATAAAACATATTCAGCTAGTGGATTAAACTCCTTAAAATGGGCTTGCAACCCAGTGTAAACTCCACAGATATTGATATAAACTCCACAGATATTGATATAAACTGTATAGACCCACATTATCATACGACTACTCATGGCAATCACTAATGTTGCATCTCAAATGTCTTTTTGACAAGATTAAACATATCATTACTACTAATTATCTGTAAAAGCGAATCGTCAATTTGCTGGATGAACTCTTCACAAATGTTAGCTGAGTGATAGGAAGTGCTACTTCTACTTTGGTTTACTTGAGTGTTTATATGTTTAGCTAAAAACGAGTCATATTCAGCTAGTAACTCTAATGAGTTGAGAGAATTTCCATTATGACATGACACATAAAAGTGCTAACACTCTTATGAGTCATGTGTAAAAAAATAACTCATTAGATTTTTATTAGGCCTTCATAAATATGTATATAATAATAGACCAATAGGTTAAAAAGATAAATAATTGAAAAATATAAATATAATTAAACTTTACCTGAAAGAAAGAAATTAGATGACAGATGCCCCTCGACGCATCAAATTTTTCCAATATTTTTATTCACTCTGACATTGTTTGATTAATTTTCAATCAATCCTGCATTTACTTCGATTAACTAAGATAGATGTAGCATTATTATGATCAGCAAATTGTTTATCCTCACTGATTGCCTTACAAGCACTTTCCAGTTGCAAAATACATTTTTGGTCTCTAAAGAACTAATTTTCCTGAAATAAAAGTTTGCAGTAAACACCATCCCCTCTTGGAAGTATATACAAGCCAATTGTATTCTTTCTTTTTTCCATTTACTAGTTTTTTAAAAAATAACTTTCAAGTTTCAGCATTGTCACGGGTTAGCATTTTAATGTCTTTTTTTAGTTTGTATATAGTTTTCAGGTATCAGGCTTTGAAAAATCAATGGTCTTTCGGCTTTCAGGCTTTAAAAAACTCAGGTTTCAGGCTTTGAAAGTTTCAGCTTTAAAAAACTAATGGTCTCTTTTTGCTGATTTGTTGTAATAAACTTAATTAGTCTATTATTTTGACATGTATAGTCAGTAGTTTCGGTAGAAAATACGTATACGCTTTGAGGTCATTTTTTACTACATACACTAATGGAGTCCAAGGTTGCATTATTACAAATAGTGGTAGGCCACTATTTGTAATAATGCATCAGATTGTTTTTGTGTGAAAAATATTGTCAACTTTAGCAAGGACACAACAAAATTTAAGATTCCAATTTGATTTAAATTTGCTTTTTTTTTTCTTTTGCCTTCTTTCGCTTGCTAGACTCATCCATGTTAATGTTATTCATTGATCACTCCTGACTGATTTTTTTGTTCTGAAAGTTCTGATGATTTATCACTATTATTTTCACTTATAAAAAATTTGAATAACTTTACCTTTAAAAAAAAGAATTCAGAAGAAATTTTTTTTTTTAAATTTATTTTGTCGTTCCTAGTGAACAATTAGAAGAAAAACTTTTGTTTCTCCAATATGTATACAAGAAAATTACTTGTTTGTTTGTTTTTTATTATTATTATTATTTTTTTTTTTCAACAGATTAAAATTTTTAATAGATTGATAATTAATTTTTAAAAAATTGATTTCTTGCTAGCGGCTGCCTAGGCTGGACATGTATAAAGGCTGTTTAAATATTTCTCACAAATCACAGTGATGCAACAATAGAACTTGTAATCCAAAACAAACATAAAATAACTCTAAATTACAAAATTTACATACCATTGATAATTTTCAGTTGAGAGCATGATACAAAAAGGTTTTGCATTAAACACAACACAATTTTATAAATATTCCCTAAATTATATAAAGAAAATTAGATTTCTGGAGAGCCTTTATTCACAAAACATTGTGAAAATCAAAAAAAAAATTAATCTATTTTACTAATTTATCTACTAAATATAACTCTGTTCTTTAAAAAACATTCAACACCATATTTTGTAGAATACATTTAAACTTCTTAAATCAGTATGACATCAGATTGCAGATATATATATATATATATATATATATATATATATATATATATATATCAGTATGACATCAGATTGCAGATATATATATATATATATATATATATATATATATATACATATATATATATATATATATATATATATATATATATATATATATATATATATATATATATATATATATGATGCAAATTTCATTTTAACCTCTTTTCCTTTGCTAGTTGGAAGAGTTTGACTTACTTTTTAACATAAATGGATGAGATTTCTAGCAGAGGATAGAGATCATGAAAAATGCTTTACTTTACTTGCTTTATAGCCAAAATCATGAAAATCATGAGAAAGATAAAGACTAAATTTTTCTGAAAGATCAGAGGAATAGAGAAAGTGATGGTTTTAGAGGAAGACAAGAATTAAGTAAAAAAGTTTCAAATATTATTTAGAATCATAGTTTTTTATATTCACAACTAGTTTTGGTAAACAGTTGTTGTAAATTCATTTGTCAATTATTTTATTTACAAAAAATGTCAACCATAAGTTTTTAATAAGTTGTTGATTAACTTGCATTATATCACTTTTTGGCTTTCTATTTTTCACTGTTAAGAGATTTAGTTTATTTAATATCTTTCATATGATAAATCTTTAAAATTGTAGATAGAAGTCGCTTTATGTTGGACTTGTTTATTCATTTTAATATGTCTTTGTAAATCTGGGCTTTATCATCTGGTTCCATATTCAAAAAGAGATCTAACTAATTATGTAAGATTTTATGCATTTGAATCAGATCCTCTTTCTTCTATCATGCAAAGTTGACAATTCAAGTATCTTTAATCTCTCTTCATACAACTTCCCCCTTAAAGATTTGGTTCTTGTAGCCCTGCGTTGTACAAACTCAAGATTATCAATGTCCTTCTTCCAAGATGGACTCCAAACAGTTGCTCCATATTTCAAATGGGGATGTACTAACAATTTGTATAGTAATTTTAATGAAAATTGTTATAAAATTACTATACAAATTGTATAGTAATTTTATAACAATTTGTAAAGTAATTTTAAATTGTACATCGCCACTTGTTTTTGATCATGCCTTATTTTCAATTTGCTTTGCCTATAACTAATTAATATGATATTTCTACTCTAGATTATAAAAAAAAAAATCCTATGATCTTTTTCTATTGTTGTTTCTGTTAAAAAAGAGTTGTTCAATTTACATTCATATCTTGGATTCTTTTTGCCAATATAAATGACTTTACATTTTGATTCATTAAATTTGATTAACCAATTTTCAGTCCATTTTACTAACATTTTAATGTCCTCTTGTAACAATTTATTATCATCATGACAATGATTGATTGAAATAATTTTGGTATCATCTACATATAATTTAGTGTCTTTAATAATCCCTCAATATGTTATGTTTAACAAGTTATTAACAAAGATTACATATAAAAGAGGTCTGAGTACTGAATCTTGCAGTACTTCACTAGTAACCATCTTCCAACTTAAAATATATTTTTCTATCACCACCCTCTGAGTTTGATCTGACAAAAAAGCATTATACCAATTTAAAAAAGATGACACAAATCCCAGTCAAAACAATTTTTCCGGTAATTTCCTGTGAGATACTAAATCAAATGCTTTTTAAAAATCCAAGAATAAAATGTTCTTTTCATATGCTTACATGATTAAATCTAATGTTTTCAACAATTTTCTTATACAACTTTTGTTATTAACAAAACTATGTAGCTCTTTAGAAATTTAATTGTTTTCAATGAGAATGTAATAATTTGCTCCATAATTTTAACAACAATTGATGTTAGTGAAACCATTCTTTAGTTTGTTGGATCTAGTTTATTGCCCTTTTTGAATAATGGAACATTTGCACATGACCATAACTTTGGAACAGTTCCTGTAACAAACAATTTAAGATCAAATATTAATGCTAAAGGACTCGACAAATATACTAAACATTCCTTCAAAACTTTTGGATGAACATTATCTGGACCTACTGATTCTTACATGTTTAAATTACCTAAATGTTTCTGAATAAGAGAAATACTAAAATATGGATCAGAGCATTTTGTGAAAAGATTGTCGCCTGAAACTTCTTCTGATGAATCATCTTATATAAAAACAGAAGCAAAGAATTCATCAAGAGTGTTTACTATTTCCTGATTATCAGTAATTATAATACCATTATGTAGTTTTATGACTTTGGTCGAGTCTCTAATTCTTGTTTTGTTATTTTTAGGTGCATAGACACTTTTAAGATCATTTTTCTAACTAAGCGCCAAGGCTCTTTTTAAAATTGCGAATACTTTTTCTGACAAGTTTTTTTATATTTTTACTTATTTTTTTAAAAATTATTGACTTCTAAAAGACTTTTAAAACCTGATTTCTGTATCTAAATCAAAGTTCTTTTTTTCTTTACACATACTTTTAGGTTAACTTGCCGTCCATAGTGAGTTATTATTGTGTTGAAAATAAATTTATCTCATTTTAGAGTTGGAATACATTTTTCACACCCTATCTCATATTTTTTTCCATAAACTGATTACTGAGAAACGCCACTCAGAAATAAAGTCAGGTATATTTTCCTAATTACTACTCGTTGTAAACAATTTTGTAGAAAAGCTCTATATAATAACAACAACAAAAACAACAATAATAACAAAAATAGTAATAATAAAAATATTATTTTTGTTATTATTTTAAATAATAACCCCTATAACTTATTACGTTACGCTACAATTTATTGGTTATAATTGGCGACACTCTTTTACTTTATAACATTATAAATGTTTATTTATTATTTTCATATTGATCATGTTTTATCTCATTTTTAATGTACAAAAGATTCATCTAAATTGGTTACTATGTCACGAAGTTTTAATTTGCAACATATATTTTTAATCGCTTATAAAAATTTTTAGTTATACTTTTAAAGTACCATGAACGCTTTTTAAATATTTTTGCATCATGGAAGAAAACTGTTTGCTTGGTGTTTCTCACCGAGTTGATAATGCCGCCCGGCGGCAAAGTAACTTTCTGCCGAAAGGCCGACTTTTTAAGGAGGCGGAAGCTGTTAACGGCGACCTCCCGATCAATTTTTAGCGGCAAAATATTCTTTATTAAGCCTCCAGTGGCTTCCGTTTTTCTATTGGCGGCCGCAGCCGGAGTTCTTTTTTGGAGGCAAAATGTTTTGGAGGCCGACGCCAATAGAGTGGCGGAAGCTAATGGTGGCCGCCTTCAGAAGAAATTTTGGAGGCAAAGCCATTTAGAGGCCGCCTCCAATGGTTTCTGCCTCTTAAGGGATCGTCCACAAATTACGCAACGCAAAGCTTATTTTTAAAAAAAAAAGTATAGGAGAACATTTTGCTCTTTTGAGCGGCGGCTTTCGCTGGACTTGAAGGGTTATTTATACATTGATTAATTAAAGACTCTGCGAGGGAAAACTTTTAACACTTTTTCTTTTGTCTATTAGTTAAATTTTGCGTTACGTAATTTATGGACGATCCCTAACTGGCTGCGGCTGTCAAATTGGAGGCGGAAATATTTGCCTCTCGCCGGCGGATGTAATGAAAAATAATTGCTCGTTTGCTTTAAAGCAATTAAATATTAACTAGAAACAAATGTTAAATACTTGTTGTAATAAATAAACTTGTTGTAATAAAAAAATAAATGTTAAATAAATTAACTTTATTAATTTTTAATAATGTTAAAAGATGTTGGGTTTTTCAAATATTTTTACAATATATAATGACTAGAATTAATAATTTAATGTTATGGTCGAAAAATTAAAGTTTTAGCGTGACGTAAGGGCGACAAAATATCAAACGATCAAAAACTTTATTTGCCATAAACTTTTTTTTTTTTTTGCTTAAGGTATGTAAACAAAATTTTTAATTTTTAATATGTTTTGAAATAAAAATTACTTATTTATTCGATAATAGTAGATAAACAACCGCTCTGACAAAGTTATAATTTTTTTTCAAAAAATTTTTTCGATAGTCAATAAATAATATAAAATAAAACTTTGATGTCAAGTATTTAACATTTCGCGAGGTTAGAATTATTTTGTTCTATCTCCATGTTTTTCCGAATTGAGAAAATTAAATTCAAAGTTTTAAATGAACCTGCAGACCAAATAACATAAAAAATGCAAACAAAACCGATTTTTATCAATTTCCCATATAGGCCTCCACAGTTTAAAAGAATTTATTTTATATATTTAAATTGCAGGTGTCTTATTTACTACACCTTGATTTGCAGATAGAACAATGTAATACACACTTTTTTTGTAAAATACAGTATTATTTTGTTTTATCTCCATTTTATGTAAAAAAACATATTACAAATTAATATATTGTTGCAAGATGAATTTATATTTTGGCAATAAAAGTACTCTAAGGTACATATTTGCTTTATTTGAAAAAAAAAAATTATTTTACACAAGTGAACAAACTAGATGAATACGTTATTTTGTCAAAACAGAGAAGATAAATAATATATTATCTTAAGATCTTTACAATGAAATAAAACTTAAGTTATAAATTCCAATAACATAACATCTAAAGTACATTGCACAGTAAAATGATATCTCAAATTAGGCAAATCAAGCATATCTGGTTAATCCATTAAAAATATAACATTTCAGAAAGAAGTCCATTTAACAACATAACATATAATACAAATATTTAGACAATAAAATAAATTATTTTAAAATACTTTTATAAAATGCAACGTCTACAGCAGACATATACTTGAACATACTTTTAAGGTCCTTGGCTTTATCACTTGAAATTTGAGCACACTGATTCAAGGCAGAAGCCATTGGTACAACTGCCAGAGGTCTTGTTATCACAGATGATAAAGAGCGCGGATTGTTAGGAAGACGCCTAATTCGTGCTTCTGAACAAACATCTGAAAACAACTTTCTGTAATATACATGATCTGAAAAATCTGCTCTGTAAACCAGATGCTTTATCTGGCTATAGGGAACAAGCTTAAAATTGAAATAGCTTGCAATAGCTGAAAAATGTTTGAAATCCAATCTTTTCATTTGGTAGACAAAAAAAGAATTTCTTCTTTGAACAGCAGAAATTGCTCTGGTTAAACCTAAAGGACTAAATATTTCAAGAAGAGCAAGTGCTCTGTCAATTTGACTGTGGATATTGTCAACCTCTTGTATACTAGAATGTCCTGGTTCACAAAACTTTTGCTCAATTACTCTAATTTTTGGGTAACATATCGAAAACTGACGCAAGGCAATGGACATGTGACTATTTCTGTTTTGAGGCACACAGGAATCGAACCATAGTATGAGTTTATTAACATCAGAGTGGTCTGCAATTATCTTTTCTAGCAAGCATGTTACACTACTTGCAAGGTCATTGCCTGCACGACCCGAAACACCTTCATGCCAAAGCATACAATAACCTTTTTTATTTATGGAGCAATGCCCAGTTAAATTATAAGCTGAAAGTTTTCGTTTGTAAAAAAATGCTCCCACATTTGATTTTGGTAAACTTATTACATTTTCAAGGTCAATACATACTACAGCCACATTTTTATCTATAATTTGGCGGTCTTTATCTCGTTCTGCTTTAGTTTCATTCTTAGAAATAATGTGTTTGGTAAACTTTTGGGTTTGTTCCTCAGTTGGATTTACTAGATTGCGGTATTCATAGCATGTATCACATAAATCAGTTTTTGGCTTCTGAAATTCAATGTTAAAGTGATAATCAAATATGAATCTATACAAATGCTTCTTAACAGGGGCAATATTCTTTTCTTCACAATAGGTTAAGTAAAGTTCATACATCTTATTAGAATTTAAAAATGCTTCAAAATATTCTTTTTCTGTTCTTTGACGACAATAGTGTGATGGAACACGTGGAAATGCATTGATATGATCTGTAACGCTTTGTTTTGATGATTGATCTATAACCTTTTTGGTGTGTTTCCCCCATTTTGAATAAATATATATATATATATATATTTATATATATATATATATATATATATATATATATATATATATATATATATATATATATATATATATATATATATTTATATACATATATATATACATATATAATGTGAACAATAACATATTTTACCTTCAAAGTTTTGTTGTTGTTTTTCTGTAATAAAAACTTAGGAGCGGCTATTTCCTGAGATCAGATCCCTGTTTTGATTGGACGAAAAATTTAACTTGCATTAGGTCCGATAAAATGTTTATCGTTAGCCGGATTTTAGGAGTTGTATATGAAATATTAGTAAAGCGCATATGATATATTGGAGATATATATTTTAGATTGAGGACTGTTTGAAACTAGTTTTTTGTCCAATCAAAAATCTTATCTCAGATCTCATATAACCGATGATATATTAGGAATAACTATTAGATAAATAATAAAATTTGTTGAAGGATAAAAAATTTTCTTTATATATCATTGCATATAACTAATTAATTATACGATTTTGTTGCGCATTCTTAATCTTATATAATGTATGATTGGACTAAATAACTTGTTTTAATTTATTTTTAAGATTAATACAAATATAATACTATAGTTTTTATTATTAATTTAATAAAATTAATGGACCAATGATACAACATCAGTTTTTGCTACGTCTGCTAACATTTGTCCAACAACATCTGTATTTATAATGATGTATAACTACATCTGTCCAACAACATCTATTAATACACTGAGGTATAATAACATCTGTCCAACAACATCTGGAATTTCGTTGAGGTTAAATAACATCTGTATAAAAAGTATGATTACTTCAGATGTAGTTTTTCAATAATGTTGAGAAAACTACATCTGTGAATTCTATAGATTTAGTTACATCTTTTTAGGGTAAATCTGCAGTTAAGCGGCGTAAAATAATTATATATTTTTTACTTAAAAAAATCAACGGTGGTGAGCGTATTATGTAAAGTTGCGTTACGTAAGATATCATAATTATTAAAAAATAAATTTTAAATCAATTATTAAATTTTAAAAGCGAGTTTTAAATTTTATCTAG